ACATTCTAAACAGTTTGCTGTTCTGAGGTAAAATGTGTCCAATCTCCAGGTGAGGGCTGGAGATCACTCAGAATTACAACTGCTTTCCAGATGGCAGAGATCAGTTCCCCTGGAGAAAATGGTGGGCTCTATATCCTTATATGCTGCTGAGATGACCCCCCTGTATGACAGCCAATGTGACATAGCAGTCAGGGCTTCAGAGCACGGTAGAGGCTGCAGGTGTGTGGGGGGTGTAAAGCTGAAGAGTGAGGGGGAAATAAAGGTAGATGATTGGCTGGGAAGGAGATAGGGTTGCCAACTCCAGGTGGGAAATTCCTGGAGATGTGAGGGATGGAACCTGGAGAGGTTGAGGTTTCAGGAGGCATGGGACCTCGGACAGGTACAAAGCCATAGACTCCACCGTCCAAACCAACTATTATCTTCTGGGGAACCATCGTTGCCAATCTCCAGGTGAGGGCTGGAGATCACTCAAAATTACAACTGTTCTTTAAGTAGCAGAGATCAGTTCCTCTGGAGAAAATGGTGGACTCAGTGTCATTATACCCTGCTGAGGTCGCCACAGCAAATTGACACTGAGTGTCCAAGGCCGGGCACCCGCGCAGAGCCTCTTTCTAGAGGCCGTTGTATTTATTTCCACAACGGGCCTTTTTCCTAGTCAGAAATAATGTACTGGTACAGTCCATCTTTAATTCTGGTGAAGAGACAAGGCTCTGCTTTTCTGCCAGTCTGGTGTAGTGGTTAGGAGCGCAGACTCTAATCTGGGAGGATCAGGTTTGATTCCCCACTCCTCCACAGGCAGCTGCTGGTGTGACCTTGGGTCAGTCATAAGTTCTTTCAGAACTGTTCTCTCAAGGGCAGTTCTTGTGAGAGCTCTCTCAGCCCCACATAATTTACAGGGTGTCTGTTGTGCAGAGGGGGAAAGGAGATTGTAAGCTGCTCTGAGACTCCTTCAGGTAGTGAATGGCAGGGTATTAATCCAGTCTCTTCCTCCTCCTCCTCCTCCTCTTGTTGAAAGCTTCGTTTTTGCAGCAAGGCAGTTAATTTTTCATTCCAGCTTGTGCTGCCTGTGTTAGTCTGTACAGTAACACATGCAGGACAGCGGTGGCTACAGTGCCAGAGATACCTCCTCCCACTTTGTGCCCTAGGCTAGTGACATTAATGGTGTGTGTTAAATCCCATCAAGTCGCTTCAGATTTACGGTGACCCTATGAATTAATTGCTCTGGTCTTGCAAACGGAGGGCCCTCGTGGCTTCCTTGATTGAGTCCAGCCATCTCATGTTGGGTCTTCCTCTTTTCCTGCTGCCTTCCAACCTTTCCCTAGCATCATCGTCTTTTCCAGTGACTCTGGTCTTCTCCTCATGCAGCCCTTATGTATGGTAGCCTCAGTTTAGTCATTTTCGCTTCTAGGGAGAGTTCAGGCTTGATTTGATCTAGAACCCACTTATTTGTCTTTCTGGTGGTCCATGGTATCAAGAGCCAGCGTGGTTAAGTGTGGCGGACTCTAATCTGGAGAACTGGCGTTGACTCCCCACTCCTCCACAGGAAGCCAGCTGGATGACCTTGGGCCAGTCACAGTTCTCTCAGAGCTGTTCTCTCAAGAGCTCTCAGTTCTCTCACTCAGCCCGCCGACCTTATATGGTGTCTGTTGTGGGGAGAGGAAGGGAAGGAGATTGTAAGCTGCTACAAGACTCCTTAGGGTAGAGAAAGGTAAAAGTAAAGGTTCCCTTGCTCGAAAGCCAGTCGAATCCGACTCTAGGGTTGCGGTGCTCATCTCCGTTTCCAAGCTGAAGAGCCAGCACTGTCCAAAGACGTTTCCGTGGTCATGTGGCCGGCATGACTAAACACCAAGGTGCACGGAATGCTGTTACCTTCCCACCGAAGCGGTACCTATTTATCTACTTGCAATTTCTTGCTTTCGAACTGCTAGGTTGGCAGGAGCTGGAACCAGAGACGGGAGCTCACTCCGTCATGCGGCACACTCGGGTCTCGAACTGCTGAACTACCGACCTTCCACAGCCTGCAGTTCAGCGTCTTAACCACTTGAGCCACCGGCTCTTCTTCTTCTAGCCATAAAACTCTCCTCCAACACCACATTTCAAATGAACATAAATGGTACACGGGGTCATTACTCTAACCAATGCCAAGGGTAGCCTGTCATTCTGTCTCCTTAAGCAGCCACTACAGTGGTCGGGTCAGAGAACCAGCCCTGCCAAAACCTCCATAACCAACCAACTTTATCTCTCCCACCGTCCCGCAACACTGTTCTCCCCTTTTATTCTCACAACAATGGGGACACAAAGCAGCTTACATCCTCTCTTCTGTTTTATCTTCACAACAACTATCCTGGAGGTCGGTGAGGCTGAGAGAGGGTGCCTGGCCCCAGGTTACCCGGTGAGTTTCTGCAGCAGAGTTGAGGGATTCAAACCTCTCAAATGCTAGTCAAAACACTCCAATCACTACCCCACACTGTCACCTATTCCCCAATGTGCTTTTTGAGCTTCTCTGGATTCTGTGTCAAACGCTTGTATTCTTAAAATGAAACAAAGCGATGGCCAAAAACCATTCTTTTTTTTTTTAACTGAAAAGCCAGTTCTCAGCTCTTAAAACACTGAGAAAGCCCCATTCCAGAGAACATTTGTGTGTCCTTAAATTCCATTCAGATTAACAAGACATAATTTATCTAATTGGGTTCAGTGGGACTTTAGCGTGACTGATTTGTTCTGGAATGGGACCCATATTTTCAATCCCCCTGTCGTGATAAAGACAAGAAATGTCACCAATATCTAGTGTGATTGATTGGCTGTTTCGATGTCCTGATTAGTGCTGGAACTGTTTTGGGAAGAATAATCGTCACTCGTGAAGTGTGCCAGATTTTGCAAAGTTATTTGAAACGCTATGAAGTAATGTTTTAGGCAGGCACATGGTAAGACAACCCAGAACACCACATCCCACCAATGAAATCTGTGTCAGATTGGAAAGTGTAGTTATTTCACGTTCCTTTGTTCTGCAACACCACACCCCTGACTCAGAGCTCCATATGCGCTGCGATGCCAGCATGGAGTTCCAGCATGTGCAGATGTGTCTTTTATTCACCTGGAATTCCTAAATGCCACACTAAAGGTCTGGATCAGGATGCAAATGTCACAAATTTCCAAAGCCCCTGGGGGCTCCAATATTTTGACATGTGCTGAAGCTAGTTTGGGGAGAACCATTGCCAGGTTTTGATTCCCTGTGATATTTAATCTGAGCATCTGGTAGGGTTGCCAGTCTCCAGGTGGTACCTGGAGATCTCCCGCTATTACAAGTGATCTCCAGATGCCCAAGATCAGTTCCCCTGGAGAAAATGGCTGCTTTGGGGGGTGGGGGGTAGACTGTGTGGCATCATACCCTGCTGAGGTCCCTCCCCTCCCCAGACTCCACCCCAAAATCTCCAGGTATTTCCCAACCCGGACCTGGCGACCCCAGCACTTGGACAGGCTGAGGTCTAGTGATCTGATCTAGCAAAGACAATTTCTTAAAATGGCTTCTTGCTCTCTCCCCCCCCCCGTCTCTATCTAGGAATCTCTCAGATATTTGTCTGGTGGGGGGGGGGAGGCTGTCAGGGCGCTTTTCACATTTCCCGGGGACTCTCGCTCCCCCCTCCACGTGGTTAAGGTCGATCGACAGCCAGAGTGGCGCAGCGGTTACGCACCAACCCCTGGCTTTCTCTCTCTCGCCCGCCGGCGGCCCGCCTCTGAGTCCCCCAGTCCCTCCCCGCGCAGACAGCCCTCCGCCCGCTCCCGCTCGCTCGCTCGCTCGGCTCCTCTCCTCCCGAAATGGTTTATTTAACATGCTGTACCGGAAGGAGAAGCCATATTCCCTCTGCCCAGCTCTGAAGCGCCGCCGCCGCCGCCAGCAGCCAGGCTGCCGCCCGCCCCAGCCCCCGGACTTGGGGGGTGGCGGGAGGAGAGCGCAGGAGGGTGCGTGGGGGGCGCTGGCAAGGCCGTGCCGTGGGGGGCGCCCTGGGACGAGCCCCTGTGGCGTGCCGGGGCTGGCTGCATAAAGAGCCGAAGCAGCAGCAGCAGCAGCAGGAGGAGCAGAATCGACGTGCTTCTGGTCGCCCCCCCCCCCTTCCTTCCTCCCGCGGCCCGGTCCCTGGCTGGCTTTCCGATCCGGGCGCAGCGAGGTCGGGAAGGCCGGCCTGTCTGGCCTGCCTGCGGGAGAGCGGCGGAGCGGGGACGCGGCTCCTTCAGGCCCGGCGGCGTGGCTGCGGCGGCAGGAGGGAGCGGACATGCCCGTAGCGCTGCAGACAAAAGAGCCGCCCGCGATTGCAGCTGCCCAGCCGGCCCCCCGAGGGGAGGAGGCGGAGAGGGGCCCTGCTGCTTAGTGCGGCAGGTCTCGGAGAGCGGAGCCGCCTCCCCGCCGCGCTTGCGGCCGGCCGGCCGACCGGGAGGCAGAAGAGGAAGAAGAAACAGCAGCGGCCGCCGCCGCCGCAGGGAAGGCGCAGCCCGCTTTTGCAGCGCGCCCGCTGGGCTTCGGCCGCCCTCCCTCTCTCCCTCCCCGAGCCTCCTCCCTCTCGCCTGCGTCGGGGAGGCCCCGGCCGCCGGAGCCGCTGCCTGGCGCTCTCAGCCATGCCCCGGGGGAGTCGACAGGCGGGCGGTCCGCCGGGGGTCCGGGAGGGACCTGCGGAACGCGCTGCGTCCTAGGGGGAGGGGGGAGAAGGACCCACCCCGCGGGGAAGAGGAGGGGGACGCGCTTTTCTCCCGCCGCCGCCGCCGCCGCCGCCTTGGCACCTTCTTCGCTCCCCTCCCCCCCGCCTGAACCCGCTCCCCCCG